TGATAACATCGTTTAAATATAAATAAAGACGCTGCACACCACTTTTAAAGCTTAAACGACACATGGCCATCTTCCCGTAGAAATGATGCCATAACCAAGCGTCGTATTCACAGATTTGCATAAAGAGTTGTTGATCAAGGCCATTTGGAAAGGCTAACCCGTGTGCCTTATAACAGACCAAAGCTTCACGTACTTTTAACACAATAATCAAATTGACCGTCACATACACAAGCAAACCCAACAAATAATCAAAATTAGCACTTACATCTTGTCCAGCCAATGAGCTTGTCCGATCCTGCGCCAATGATTGTACTTACCTTTTGTAAAGCTTCATGAAAACCTGGTGGTCCATGCATCTTAATCTCTGCATCCAGAATTTTTCCTAGATCGGTATATAATTCATTGGAATGTTGTGGCACTAGACTATTGGAGTCGTCGGCGTGGATCACAAACACCTCCTGTTTCTTCATCTCTCCATTTATCAGCACACTGTGTTGAGTTTCTTGACTCTCAAGATTCTTTCTGATCGCCAACTTTTTCTCGGCATCGACATTTGTAAAGTAGTCGGGAAAGAGTCCAGCCAGCAGACTCTGTGCTGAGCGAATGGTTCTTCGAATATTTGTGGATTCTACATATACTTGTTGGGTCGGATCTTCCATATGATTGAGCAAATTTTTATACCTCTCTCGTAAACATTCACCCTTCTTCTTCATCATGTCAATCCCCTTGGCTGTTAGCTGCCCACAAGGCCAACGTCCACCTTGCTTAGGTGGTGGAGGCATCTTAAAATCCTGACCATAGCAGCTTTCTTCACTACATCTACCATTGTGGAAAGTCACTACTTGTGTCCCGCTATTAAGCGCATCAACAACGCTGAGATCAGCCAAGCGAGAGGCCCAAAACTCCGTATCGATTTGCGTCATTTTTACTTTAGTGCTGACATTGCGACTTATTGGAGATCGATCACCATGACGAAACAACACAAGTACATGATACAAAGTCAAATCATTCTCGTTCGCACACTCTAAGTTGTCAGCTTGATTGATTAAGCTTAAACTAGCAGGAGACTTTGGTCGAGGAGCCATGCTCCAGCGTTGCAATGAAAGCCATCAATGATTGGTCGAAACATTACGTTGTTTGATTGGCAGAAAAGTTTTTATATAGTTGATTTATTATGGTGTGCAGCTTCATGCACCGAGGCGTCGTCCAGCGTCTACTAATACGTGGCCTATCGAGGTCATTAGCCCTGGGCGCGCTACCAGTATCTTCAATAGACAAACGAAATATATTGGAGAGAAGCATTGCAAGTTGCGAGCCGTCGCACGCGCTTGCTGCCTTTGAAACGCTACAACAAGATTCTAGTCATTGCGATCAGCAGCTGCTACAACGTTTGGTGCTACTCGTTGCCAAGCGCGGACAGCCACATCAAGTTCCTCAAGCTGCTCAAATTTTTCTTCATCTTTTATCTCAGCCAAACTGTAAAGTGGATGATACAACACAACTGGCAGCCATTTACACGTTGGATTCGTGCCTTCGACTGAGGCGGCTAGAGGACGCCTTGTTGCTCTTTAATGCAGTAAAAGATAGGAATATTATACTGGATCTTCCAGCCTTAAATGCAATGATCGAGGCACTAGTAGATGCATACAGAGTGGATGAAGCTATGACGATGATCAAGAGTATCATCACCTCGCAGCATGAAGTACGACCTGTAGAACAGACATTCCAATCACTTCTTATGGCTTTGATGAAACAAAAACGATACGAAGACGTTATATCGCTCGTAGAGTATGGTAGAACGAATGAAGTGGATTTCTCACCAGCGGTAAGAAATAATGAATGGCAATGTGGTGATTTACAGAAGTAACTAACGATGAATTGTGGGCTTAATAGACATACGACCCGCTGGTAGAACTATCACAGAAGCAGTATACGTCCAAAAACGCAGTGCGAATGAACAAGCTCATGGAATACATTAATAATGCATTACTAGCTGACGGGGTGAGTGATGATTGATTCGATAAAAATGGTTGCTCGTTTCTAACAGATACTTGGCCATTCAGTTTTGGGATAACGACGACGAGGTGGAATATGACGACGAAGAGGAGAACGACGGCGAGGTTCTTCTTGAGAATGACGACGATGACTTTGACGACGACGAATTTGACTAGCACCAAAGCAGCAGGAAACATATAGTTGAACTTCTTATCTGTATAATTACCATTCAGTCAAACTTATCACAAGTCAATTGCTGTTTATTGTAAATTATTCTACTGATTGTTTGTTGTCTTATCATTAATGTGTCGTACAAATTAGCCTTCTAGCATCCTCACTAGCTCTGCAGCGGACGGTCTTGAATGCGGATCGTGCTGGAAACAATCGTCAGCTGCTTTACGTATACGCTGCGGACATCCTGCTGTAAAACTCGGTCTTAATGTACCATCCAAAACTTCTTTGAGAACATGAAAAGGCTTCATTTTCTCCCCATTTGTCCCAAATGTGTCGTAGTATGGAGCTTCACAAGTGTCAAGCTCCGAAAGCAGAACTCCAAATGAATAAATATCGGCTTT